TGACAAATATGGTTAAGAATGGTAATCTTCTTAAAAAACTAGACATACTTGTGTTTGGTGTGGTGAGGGACTTCTTCATTTTATTTTAATTCCCTTATTGGATTTCCCCCTCTTTTAATATAATTTTCTGTTGCTGGAAAAAGAATCTCTTGTAGGTTAGCTTCCTTCAGGTCTCCTAGAAGGCAGCCATTGCTTACTTTTGCTGCCTTAAGGACTAGAAATTTGAGTGTTGAGTTTTTTAAAAGCTGTAGGCAGTGAATTTTCCTACTTCCGTCAAAGGCTTTTATAGTGCCGGATAACCACCCCACCTAGTTTATAGTAAACTCATTCACGTTTTCTTTGACAGGTGACTGAACAGCAGGGGAAAGCTGCAGACTCCTCCCAAAGTGATGGACTAGTGGAGGAGCGGAGAAGAAAGAAAGAGATAATTTGTGCTGGAAAAGTGGAGGCAGAAGATCACCCAACGCAGGAGAAGGAGAGAGAGCGCAGAACTACAGAGGTTCTGGAGCAGGAGGATTTCAGAGGAACAGAGGAACAGAAGAATAATGACAAAGGGTTGGAGCAGAAGACTGGGCCAGGAGAGGGAGAAGATGTGGTGGACAGGAGAAGATCTGACCAGAACTTTGAGGTCAAGACTGAGCAGAAGGTGGAAGGGGGGAGGGAGGTGGAAAGAGAGTGGGCTGGTGAGGAAGTGCCTCAGCTAGGAAACCGGATGGAGGAGGAAGGGACGGTTGGAGATGAGTCTGGAGTTGGGGTGCCATTTGAGATCAAGGTGGAAGGTGATTCCGAAGACCAAAGACGAAAGCGGAAGGGGGACAGAGAAACCCTACAAGATGGAGTAGAAAGAAAGGCCAAAAGAAGCAGGAGCAAAAGAGGTGTTCCAAAAGTAGAATTTCTCAGGGGCTCCCGGAAGAGGAAAACTGAGGAAGAGGACAAGAATTTGAAGAAGAAAAAGAAGAAGGATGAAGGAAATTGTGGGAAAAGGTCAGAAGCCGAGGAGGACAAGTGGAGATGGTAGGTTTCTTGTTCGAGTCATCTCTGCATCTCAGTGTTGATGGCAAAAGGGAGTTTCTGATTTTAAATCTGTGTTGCACAGACCCAGCCATGCTGGGTTATCAACCCTGTTTAGGCATGGGATGGTGTGAC